TTAATTATTGAATTATATTATAAGTTCAGGATATTTATCAAAAACTATTTCTCTTTCCAAGCGAAATTGGCCTTCATTAAATTGGATAAAGATAAACTTCACAGTTTATTATTTCATTTAGTATGTGGTTGTAGTATTGATTTTAAATTTATCGATTATATCGATAGATTGCAATACGTTCTGCAAAATCTGAAGAGTGTTCAAATTCCTGTAGAATAATTTTTCGTACAAATATACTTATTTGTTAATAATAAAAAAGGTTGATGATTTTAGGGTAATTCTTGTCTATTTAAAATTTTGAAAGTGAATATTATTTTCTAAAACTGTATGAATCTTTTGATATTTCATAGGTTCTTCAATTCTTGGTTACTAGTATTTTGTTTATGAGTATTGGCCATGGTGCGAAGGCAGCTTGGAAAGTGCGCAGCCGCAAATGAGACATGCTGAGGTGTTTGTTTTGTTGTTACTATTGCTGTTGTTGTTGTTGCTGTTGCTATTATTGTAAGTTGCAGGCTGCTTTTCTAACTGCTGGTTGCTGCAATATGCCGCTGTCAGTCAGTCATCCAGCCAAGCAGCCAAGCAGGCAACCAAGCAACCAAACAGCCAGTCAGTCAGTCAATCAAACTGTGAAACGGACGGGCGTCCAATTAACAGGCGGCGGCTACGCTGCCGTCTTAATTATGTAATGCGCACAATTGAGAAGACATTTAAATGGCTAGTGTGTGTGTGTGTGTGTGTGTGTGTGAGTTTTTCACACATACAAACAACCAACAACAGTGCTAAACAATTATGCATGCAAATGGAGCGAGCGGGTTATACGTACAAGTGCAGAGATCTCAAGTGCAACAGCACTCCCAACCTTTATACACTGGAAGAAAAACTAAGCACAATGAAATAGTATTTAAAGCAAAAAAGAGCTCAACTCTTAAATATCCTGTGCAGTGGGTACACAACAAAGAAAATGAAATTAATAAAAATATATTTAAAAAATTAAGTTATCAAAAAATTTAAATCAAATAAAAAATATTCATCCTACAGTTTCAACAACATACATTTACATCGAAATCGTGTCTATGAAAAATCATTAATCACAAAAAAATGATAAAACTGATCTACCTAGAATTTAGGGGATACTGGTTGCAAAGTTTGGTAATTCTATTTTTTTTTATCTTCTGAGATCCTTTCTTTCATACAGGCGGCAAGACGGACATGTCTATATCAATTCGTCTTGTCATCCTGATCAAGACATCAAGAATAGATTTACTTGGTGGGGTTTGCTTTGGGTACCAGGTACACAAAGCAATTCCGAGATCTCATAGTTTAATTATGGCAAGTATATAATTACTTCAAAACGTAGACTTGTATATACCCTGCAAACACAATGTTGAAAGCTCTACCATCTTAGCATATAGAAATGGGAATGATTGAGTTAACAAGGTTTATTTTATTTGAATGAGCTTCAGTGACGTTGAACAGTGAGTTGTTTATTGCTCACTACACAGCTATTTCTCCAAGTGTAGGGCTTTGGTAACTGCACTTGATCAACAGTTTTTGCTGCCACTGCACCACTCAAGTGTCTTCCATAGGAGCAGGCGAGGGAAAGGTGGACAGATGAATGGACAAGTGAGCAGCAAATTATGATTATGCAATAATGATAATAATAATAATAATACATATACACATATGTATGTAAGCAGCAAATCAAAGTGCAATGCAAAGTGCAGCGACAGACCCCTGAAAAAAGCAACCAAAACAAAAAACTTAAGACCCGCACTTGACCTCGTTTGCTGCACAGTTGGACTTTAAAATGAATTTAAGTTTAAGATAAAAAGACAACAACAACAACAACAATAAAATGGCACATGCAACAACAACAACAACACCAAACGCTATATACAATAATAATGAAATATTTAACTCAGTTTACTCAGATTTCGAAGGCGTATTAATTTTAATTGCTGTGTTAATTAGTCAGCAATTACATAAATAAAGACTCACTGATTCGGAATTAAATTATTACAGCAAGAAGAAGAAGAAGAAGCAGCAGAAGAAGGAAAGTGAAACAAAAACCAAAAACCTTTATTATTGCTATACGATACTAAAAATCGTAAGCGCCGAAGAAGAAAGTGTAAAGCGCATATCGGAGAGAGAGAAACCATTAGTTACATACATGCGCCAAACACAAAATGTTATAATAATTAGTAATAATTATGATAATTAAACTAAAAGCTGCGTTGGCGTCACGGCCGATGAGCAGCGCTTGCATCATGCATTATGCGATACTCTATATATATCTATCTATGTATCTATATATATACTCTCTTCTATATAAGTATATTACGAGTAAGTATTTATTTATGTGTGTCAACACAACAACGTTTTTAAAATTCCGCACATAAATTCCTCGGTGTTTTCGATTTTACATGAAATTAATGGTCGCCGTTTGCTTGTTAGCCACAAATGTCAGCACATTTGTGGGCCAAGCATTACAGATGGGGAGAAAATATTGGGAAAAGCAAAACATGAGGCTTTCCCGCTCCCCCACCCCACCATTTCTTTGACATGCCGTCATTACTCAGATGACGCACAGTGGAGCGTTTCTTTTTGTGTGCAAAGTGTAGGTAGACTGTGAAGAAAACTGACTACTAATGCATAAAAGTATGACACGAATAATGCAGGTAAATCAGTCTTAATGGAGCTATAAAATCAATCATGGATTATATAGATAAATCCATGGTTTACGGAGGCTTAACATCAACCACTAAGTCGATATAGTCGGATAATCACTGATAATATAGAATGTTATTAGTGGGTTCTCAACAACCCAACATCCCGGTTAACAGAGTTTCTGGTTAAAAAAGAATGGAGAATAATTGAGGATAAACTGTTCTTTTAAAGAAGTGTAGAAGTGGAATATGAAACAATTGTATTAAATAACTAATGAGTGAGGTTTAACATCAACCACTCAGCAGCCCGATTAACAGATGTTTCCGGTTAAAAAAAAGTCTGCATAATCGAGGTGCAACTGTATATTCGATTTGAGTTAAGCGAACTACAAAAACTGTAGAAATGGAATATCAAACAAGTCTACCAAATAAATAATATCCTTAATAAGCAGAAGAAGTCAGAAGATGGATTAATTTAAAATAAAGGAAAATGCAATGGAAATGTAAAATTATAAAATTAAGATATTAAATATCTTATCAAGCATAAGAAATAAGCAGTTGGTATGCATTTCAATTAAAGTTAACTTCTAATTCGAAAATGGAATGGGATGTCTAAAATTTTTTTTAAATATCTTAAGATTTTATCAATCACTTAGAAGTTCAAATAAAGTTGTCTTCTCCAGAACTTCGACTTATTTGAAATGCTAGGGCAATAGACGCGAGGTTACAATCAGAACGTTCCACTGTGCACGTGCTTTTCTTTCGGCTTTCCCGCATAAATATGTATATGTACGTACAGAGCGCTACAAATCAAATGCCGCGGCAGTAATACGCATAAACAAAAATAGTTGGCGTGCTCTGAAATAAACTTATTTTGTCGCCAAAGTCGACGTCGATGCTGAGCGCGCGGCTCATTTGGCCGCCACCCATAAATTTTCCTCATAACCCGTGTGACAGTAATGTGTCAGCGAGGGGGGGAAAGCGCATTTCTTTACATCGCCGAAGTTTTCTTTTTCTGCTGTTTCTGTTGTTTTGTTTTTCTTCTTGCCACAAATAGGAAGTCATTTGGTCGCAGTTGCAATGCCGTTGCATGAGCGCTCTATAGTGTCACATAACTATGTATAGACGGGTAAATGGAGCTCACCTGCAGACCCAACTCGCCCGCAACTCTCTCGTAATTAAAACATCAAAAAATTACAAGCCATAAAACGGTGCAAATGTAAGCAACAACAAAATACCCCCCATCATACTCTATCTCCCTGACTTGCCGACTTTGCGACTCTAGGTGCGTATGCATAATTTCAGATAATGACAGCACATAAAATTGAATGCGTCTGAGGCGATCGCTTAGGGGGGAAGAGCTCCTCCACTGATGCTGCGCATAATAGGCAGACATCTGTACGGGCCTGTACAGATGTTCGGGTAACAGGTGTCACTCTCACTTTCGGCGCTCACTAAAATCCAATTTAGCAGGCGCTGATTAAATATCAAAAAATACGAAAAAAGCAACAACAAGAAACGTGTAAGCAGACAATGTCCTCATCTGCAGTTGTCGCTTTCCCAATTCCAACTACCACCACCAGTCAAGTCATCCGACTGACTGTCAAGAGCGATACCCTACATACATTACAATTAGCATTTCGTGTCTGCGCACGCATCCGAAAAAGCGAAAAAATACTGCAACTGAGCACACATACACGCAATTATCTACCAGAGATCTACGGGCGACGACTACTGTGTGTATCTGCGGGAAGCACCGCCAGATGACAGAAGACTGCAGACAGACGTCGAACGGCAGTCGCTGTGTTTGTCACTTTCCTTTTTGCAATACTCTCGAAAGAGATAGAAAGGGTATTCCAAGTGGAGATGTTGACTTTGCACGCAGAGTTCAGGGGAAAAATAACTATTTTTTTTAAATAACATTAGATTGTTGCAGAATAGTTGATTGCTTAAATATAATAAGTGTTGCCTAACCAAAAAAGCTGTTGGAAAGACCACTTAATGAAGAGTGAAGAGTAAGTACTTTCGAGAAAGACTATTCCAAATGAAGATGATGAGAATTTGGAGGTATACAGCAACATTTTAATGAATGTTTTCAAAAAGTATTAAATAATATATTACAAAATTTTAATTTATAATGGAATTTTTCATATTAATGAGGATTTAGATTATTAATTAGACTATTATTATAGAGACAAGATACATTTTAGAGCTGTATTTCAATCAATGGCACTAATTTTGTTCTTATTCTTTCTTATTCTTATCTTTAAAACATTTTAAAGCAAGTAAAAAAGTGAATACTTTAATAATAATTGTGTGTTTCTTCTTTTACAGAAAGATTGGCACAATTACACTCACGTCACCTCGTCTTTAGGTAAGTTCGAACTTTGTTTCAATATTATACTTATAATTAAAAGGAATGTTTGGCTTGTGTAAGGCATTTTCATTCAAAAGAACTGCAAATTTATTCAAAAATCTAAGAGTTTTTATTAGGATCTACGTTCAAAGCAAAAAAAGGAAAATCTACTGATAAGCAACGCATATTTTTGTCTTCTTTGCCAACATGTTTTACAGCTTAGATTTAACTAATTGTTTTTAAAATCTGAATGCTTCAGAAATAAATGATCAGAAACAGAATTGCGAGGACTTAAGGTGTTGATTCGGATTCGAAGAGCACGCAGAATCGATATTAGAAGTTTGAAGAGAAGCGCTCATCGTTGACCGATACTCGAAACCGAAATAACAGAAACATTTATTTCGTACAGTTACGGTACTTCTGTCTGTGTGATTTAATTCTCCGTAAAGTCATTTAAAAACTCTCTTCTTTGTTGGTAGAGTTATTCTGTCAATCAGATTTTAGTTCCGTTTGCTGTCTAGTTAGCCTTTACTCAATATTTCTTAATTACAATGATTTTTAGAGAAACAAGAAAGCAAATGGCAAAGATTATTACTAAGCCTAATAAAGCTTACTTAACAAAACATAAATGGTTCAAAAAATTAAAAGATTTTATGCCTACGTGATTCAGTCGACGGGCTGTCTAATTATACTTTTCTACTATACTATACTACTACTATATTTCTACAGTAGAATTGGAGCCGATATGAGGTTCAGCTTCATTCCCCGATTCAAAAACTCTACAAGTATTATAAAAACACAATTTTAGAGGGTATTTCTTCATTCGTTTGATCGCATCACTCCTTTTCACTTGTTATTTATTTGCATTTTGTTTTTTTGCTCGTGCCATGCAAATTTCTTCGCACCATAACCACGACTACGAGTATACGACTATTAATTGATAATGACTGCAACCAAAAGCAAAACTATACAGAAATTGTCAACCAAATGTGGCAATCGCCGCTAGTAGTCGACCAATTGTTGCTGTTGGTGTTGGTGTTGGTGGAACGCTGGAGGCGGGAGCAACAATCGCCAATGGCCAATTGTACATGAATCGCAATTTTCTGGGGTCTGGCGGTCTGACGCGCAAAATCTCGTCCTGCAAACTGCAAACTGAAAACCGAAAACTTTCTTTGCATGACGACGACGGCGACGACGCTTGCTGCCCACATGTTTATAACATTTTTCTTATCACCGATCGCCAGTTGTTGGCACGTTTTGGGCATTGCTTTGACGTTACTATTTTTCGTGTTGTTGTTGTTGTTGCCGTTGCCGTTTTTGTTTCTGTCTTCGTTTCTGATGTTGTCTCTGGCAACGTGTTGCAAATAATAATATGCAAGTTTTTATTGCGCTGCTTTACATTATATTGCTGGTGAATAAAATACAATGCACATATATTTGTTAAATGTATGTTTGTATGTGTGTGTTGCTAATAGTTATTTGTGTATGTGAAATGGTGCTTGTGAATTTTTTGGGATGTTCAGGCAACGAAATGCCAGAGCCCATTGTCTCTCACTCTCTAAGAAATAAGTCATAAATCATTGTTGGTCTTTTAAGCCAAGTTGCCTCATATACCCTTCACTTTAAGTGAAAGGCTATGTTGTGTTGGCAGCCAAGATCCATTCCATATAGCTACAAATAATTCTTTAGATGGAGACGATATGATATGTGATACTATGAGATCAAAAATTGGATTATTTGCCAATAATTAAACGTGTTGCTAATTTTAAAAAGTAATAATAAGCGGAAAGGGATAATCGGATACAGCAGGTAGAACATGAAGTACACACGCGAATTCCTCAAAATTCTTACACCACACATATCTATCTACTTTCTTTTCTCACTTTCTCAATTGCTCAGATAATTCTGAGTGCCTGTATTCTGGTCATAAGCAGGCAGGGCCCACAATTTGCTCATGGGTAGAGGTTGCTCGTGGGTAGAAGCCTGCCAGCTTAACAAAAATTAAACTTTAAAATGCAACTTTGAGGAAATAGTTTAGTGCAGCAAGAAGAGTTGATATTAAAATTATTTTAGCAAAGAAGTTGGTTTCAATAAAATTTTGTTTTTGATTTAAGCAATTGTATTTCTATCAGTAAATTAAAATAAGATTCACTGAAATATTTCATCAACAGATCAAATCTATTTAAGATAGAAGGCAGCTTATGAAAAATAATTGCTTATACAAGTAGTCAACTCAATCAAATCAATTCACTTGATGAACAAGCAAGTGCATTAAACAAAATTGTGTGAAGAAACAATTGTGTGACAAATGAAGCAGCTTTTTTGAGAATCTAATGTTTAAACAATTTTTTTGAAATCAATTAACTGAGGTACTTTCATCAATTTATTATTAAATTGGGAAATCAATTTACTTCAAATGAATATTAAAAAAAATATCAATGAACTTCAAACTAGCACAGCATAGCTATAGCTCTGAGAACTTTTCAGACAAATTTGTGAATCGCATCATTGTGCGGGCAGAGGAGGAAGCCTTGGAAAAGTGAAAATGATTTTTAATGGAGCGTGGATTAGTAATTAAGAGTGTGGGCCGTCGAGAATCGAGAATGACAATTGTGGGAAACCCCCTTTTGTTTTGCAAAACACAACGAAGGGTATATAGCGTTTGCTCAGACGACTTTGGCTCTAACGATCTTTTGTTTCTAAGTTTTCTTCAGCTTTTTTTGTTGTTGACTAACTCACGACTGACCAGCCCACTGCGATCGTTTAGTTCGTCTTGGTGTTGTATGTTGTGTGTAGTCTGTTGTGGTATTTCTCAGGCCAGGTTAGTAAATTCTGGCCAAGCGAGATTACTTGCTCGCCCGCCGAAACTTGCTTGGGCACATTTCTGCCGCAAAGGCAAATGGCCAACAAGCGCAGGAGTCGTCGCTCAGTCTATAGCCGGTTTTGCTGTTGTCTCAAGGAGAAAGCCTGAGAATGCTATTGTGGCCCAAAAGGGCGGCTGCCCATAACTTATAAATTATAGCTTATAGCATATATCGATTTCTAAGCTACTATATACATATACGAGTAAGAAGTATAGTGTGCCGAACAGCTGCTTGTAGTTTTTGTTTTTGTTTTCATTTGTATTTATTTGTGAACGCAACAAATCAATTGCAATTTTTTGGCCAAATGTTATATGTTATATGGCTTGAATTATAGCTATTGTTGTTGTTGCTGCCCACACACACACACACACACACACACATACGGACACCAACCATTTTGTATATATAAGCTTCGAGTATACTTCATATTACACATACGCAGCATTGGCCGGCGTTTCGTGCATTGTTTTTAATGGCCAGCAAACAGAATTGACATTTCCTTTTACAACATCAAGCAGCAGCAACAGCAACAACACTAAGTAAAAACTATAAATCAGCAGCTAGCAACATTTACAACAAAAACAACAACAACAACAACATCAGCTACATGTGATTGTCACGCTTGAAGGACTTTCTGGCTGTGCTCCGCAAGAAAAAAGCGAAAATGAATTTTGTGTTTTATTTTGTTTTTTTTTTCTTTTACTAACTTATGTTTTGTTGTTTGCTGCTGTTAACAGCATTTGTTGCAATTGTTGTTGTTGGTGTTGTTGTTTTTTATGAAGTAGGTTACTATGTTTGTTGAGTAATTGAGTTTAGTTTTTTGTGTTGAGTTTTCTTCACACACACACACACGCATTCATTTTGTAGGAAGCTGCACATGCAATTGCATTCAGATTTCAGTTTTGCTGAAGTTTTGCATGTCTTGGACAATTGCGTTACTTGTCCGACAAATGGCACAGCAACAGCAACAACAACAACAACAACTCAATAGTGGAAGAAACTTGTGAATGCTGCTCGCTTGTTGTGAGCTGTGTGTAGATACATAAGTATGTGTCATGCACTTCGTAACTCCGCAGAACAAATCACGCACTGCAATGGTGCTAATGAGTGTTGTTCGGCTAGGTCGGGGTGGTTGTCAAGCAACGCACAAGTATGTTACTAGATTAAGCAAGTAACTCACTTTGTTAGCTTTACGAGTAAACAAATGCAGTTGATTGAGTTAACAATTAGAAGGAATTTATTTGGTTATTAGAATATTGTCAATAATTGTTTGTGCTGACCCAAATCTGAATGATTTATAGAAATAAAGCATTTAACCAATGTATTATTCGAAAGAATCTGAAAATTCGACAACACCAGCAGTGTCAGACATTTTATTTATTTCATCTGGAAACAAAACTGTCGATCTAAAAAAATCAAAACTAAACTAAATAAAGTAAAGAATTAAAAAGCCTATAGAAATTACAAATATATTTATTAACGCATCCGACTCGGTGGGAGGATTTTATTTGCCCCGATTGACGGCACAGAGCAGTCAGCGACCGTTATTAGAGCTAACAAAAAATAGAGATGAAGAAATAACTATAAAAACTGGAAAGCAAGTAAAGGTTAATTAAAATAATAAGAAACTAAAATATTTAAATTATGAAAGCTACAAATATAATAAACAGCTAAAAGGTGGAGAATGTTAACCAGCCAATCCAGCAAGATATTCCTTTTAGTTAGAATATTTCAAAGTTAATAATTTCATCTTAAAGTAGATGGCTTTATGACGTGGCTGGACAAATAATTCAAAGAATCACTTTTGCATAACTATTGTCTATTTAATTTCACTTCATTTTTAAAACGCGCCTAAAACTAAGCACTCAAAGCGGACAATTGTGGAATTTGCAAATTACGTTTAATCTCTCAATCGTGCCCCTTGCTAAAGCAAAAAAACATTTCTCCCCTTTAGTTATAAAAAGCGCACTGTCTATAATTTCAGGAAAATATGTTCGCCTGCCATGATTACAAGAAAACACTTTAGCTAAGGGCATGCTAATTATGTCATACAGCAAAGCGATTTAGTTAGTTGTGAGCTTTAATGACTGCTAACTAAACGAACAGTTAGAGTCCATGCATAAATACTACTTGTATGTGCTCATGTAGAGTCTG